ATGCAATGTCAATTATCATCTTCTGTCTTCTTTACTGTTGTTCCTTTTTTTTGTCCTTTCTTCAATTCTCCCCATTTTCACTCTTCTCATTCTCTTCCTGTAATCCCCCCACCTCAACCTTCTAGTACTATTGTTGCCTTGCTTTTGGTTAAACTAGAAAGTGATAAATTCTATTCAAAAGAATGTGAAAATTTGCATAGCTAAACTTGGAGCCAAAAAAAAAAAAAAAATGGATGTAACATGTAAATTTGATCTTGACAAATTCAAGTAAGGATTTTTTCAAGACACTGTAGAGGTGGTGTTAATGTCTGATGCCACTGCCTGGGCATTAACTAAAACCCAATGGTCTAAGCTTGATGCAACCTACACTTGGATGCTGAGAACTATATCTAACATCTCTTGGTGACAGCATCCATCTAAATCACAGCTCTATAGGCCCATCCCTGATATTTCTACACTCTTATGCAAATAAAGAAAACATTTTGCAGGACACTGCTAGCAAGCAAAACAAAAACTCGTGAGTGATCTACTCTTCTGGACACCTCGGCATGGAGCAAGTTGAGTTGGTTGCCAAGCAACCACATATATTGATCAACTATGTTATGACACAGAATTCCTCCCTAATGACCTTCCAACCTTGATGCACAATTGTGATGGCTGGTGTGATAGACTCATGAATGTCTGAGCTTACTTGACCGAATAAGTACGCATCTTAGGAATAAAGATAAAATTACTAAAAATGAAACACGCATTTATAGCATCATCTTAACAGGTGAAAGGAAAAAAAAAATAACATGCTTTATTTTTAGCTAAAGAAAAGGAAACCGAACAATGAATATTTCTAATACAAAGCTAATTTCCTTAAAACAATTATCAACTATTATTTATATGTATAAATAGCTGCTAACGTTTATCATGATTACCTTTAGTGAGCCTCTAGCAAGCAGTCATGACAGGACAATCTAGAAGAAAAAAAAAAGAGTAGAAAGATACACAACTCAAGCAGGTAATTTTGTACAATGTTGTGTGATGTTCTGAGAAGAAGCCTTTTAGAGGTAGTGTCATACTATATGCTTTAAGATTTTTTTAAGATAGAGACAGACAAAGATAAATAGATAGGTAGAGACAGACAAAGATAGATAGATAGATAGATAGATAGATAGAGACAGACAAAGATAGATAGATAGAGACAGACAAAGATAGATAGATAGATAGATAGAGACAGATAGATAGAGACTGACAGACAGATAGAGACAGGCAGGCATAGATAGATACAGACAGACACATAAATAGATACAGACACAGATGCATAAATAGATACAGACACAGCCAGACAAATAGAGAGATAGAGATAGATAGATAGGTAGGTACAGACAGAGATGGATACAGACAGACAGATATACTATGTTGAGTGAAAAGTTTTAGCCCTTTCCCTGATGATATTTGGCGATTTTTGTCTCCATGTTTTATCATTAATTTTTCCAACCATTGCTGAATTGTGTCTTCTTTATTTTCATAGATAATATATAAACGCTAATTGTTCATTCTTTATTTCACAGATTTCATGAGTAGTGAAATAATTGCAATTAAAACCATTTTAAGTGACCTGTGGTAAAAAAGGACTGAGGGTAGCAATGAAAAAAATTAATGATGTGGAAGGCCCAGGATTTTTCAATGAATGCATGGCCCAAAACTGATTCAGATATTTTGAGGAAGGTGACACCAGTCATGAAGACAAACTAAGTTCAGAGAGACCTTTTGTTGTGAAAGATGAGGACTTGCTTGAAAAGAATGAAAATCAGCCAAGTACAAGCATTTGTACATTGTCAGCAGCACAGTCAGTTACAAAGTACTATTAATCGACACTTCCATAAGCTTGGCCTTGCGAACAGATGCTGTTGGAAAGTTCTTCATGAACTGACCAATGCCCAGCTCAATGAACATTGAAACATCTGTTGGTAAATCCTCAAGATGCCTGTTTTTGGCATTGAATTGTAAATGGAGATGAGAAAAAAATATCTGTTTTCATAATCGTAATAAGAGAAATCATTGGCTTTGTTCTGGCCAAACGTCAGAAACTGTTATCAAACAAGGGCAGTTTGAGCAGAAGGTCATTATATGCATTTGGTGGAATTTTGAGTGGGTGTTGCACTTTGAGCTCATCCCAAATGGTCATGCTGTGAACACTGAACTCTATACTCAAAAACTGCAGCAAATATATGGCACTTTGAAAGCCTGCTACTGGGCATTGGTCAATTGAGGACATACAGCATGACAACACTGCAAACCTGCAGTTTTGTTTTTGAGCAACTCTAACACTGTAAACAACCATCAATTCGATTCCACAGTAGAAGGTTCCTCTGGGCTACCAAGATATTTTCCTGTCCCTCCTGAGCTACCAAGGTATTTTCCTGTCTCTCACTCATTTTAGCCAAGTACTTGTCAAAGACACCTACATGCTGAGAGCAGTCAGAGTTACCAGATTTGATATTAGCAGTGACAGCCAAGTTCACTATGTGATAAAAACCATTACTGTTACTTTGTAACAAAATTTATAAACATTATTCAGACTATTGTCCTCATCTTTGTCGCCATATTTATTACAACATTTTAGCTGTTGTATGCTCCAGCTTTCTTCAGGTAGTTGGAATGTTGAACTGAACCCTTTATTATGCTCACTGGGGTAGACTGTTCTAGTTCCATGTGCCATGTTTAATGGATGTCAGTTATCAGTTATCCTCTCTCCAGGTTCCCCACTACCTTAACCGGGTATTGAACTCACTATTGTCATTGGAGCTAACTAACGCCTTTATCCACTGTGCCATGTGTCCTTGAGGACATTTGTGTATGAATTTCTGGGTATTATAAACCTAATATCTTCAGCAATCATTTTTCTACGAGTGTTCATATTGCAATTTTTGTTGTTATTATCATTTTTCTCTGGCACTCCTTATTACTGGTTCCTATATTGTATTCATTTCTATGCTTGGTCGGCTCAGGAGATTTCTGTGGCCTAGCATATGTGCTGATTCCTTAAGTTTATGAATTTTCCAATGGTGTTCTTTGTCTATGATCTCAACTTGATCCCACAGAGGGTGGTGATCTCCCTTTTCTCTCCATGTGTGGTCAGCCACACCTGATGTTTCTACTTTCCCTCGTGTTACAGCTTTCTGGTGTCCCTTGAAGCCTTATCTTAAGGGGGTGGCCTGTCTCCCCTTTATATTTCTTTCTGCAGCTGCACGGGATAGCGTACACACTGTTTTTAGTCATGTTCTCCTCTATGGGGGGGAGGTCTTACCCGGGAGAGATATCTGCGAAGTATCATCAAGCTTTTGAAGATTGTCCTGATGTTATATGGACTGCATAATACCTCATCTCAGAAATATAGCCCGCCCTCTCTAAACTGTATAACTAGATCAAGAAAAGCTAAGCAACTTAGGCTAAAGCCAATAACTTTGTAAAAAACTGGGATTGATTTGAGACTGTATTGATGCAATAAACAGGACCTGACTTCTAAATGAATAACAAATAAATATTTTTCTGTTCTGATAAGTGTTGCGGTCTAAGGACAGTATAAAGAATGCTAATCTATAGACATTATTTACAATTTTCCTATTTTTTTTTTTTTTATGAATGGACCACTATATTTAACTAGTTCTGAATTCTCATACCATTGCTTTGTCTTGCCACATTATAAAATTATGACCCAAGTTAGCAGTCCCCCAAAGGTGATGATTTTACTTTTGAAAGGTTGGAAAGGGATTAAATAATAGCAAACCTTGAAATCCATGATTTGTTCATGGCTCTTCTCGAGTTGATATCTCAAAGAAGCTTATGGCCATAATATGTTTAAACACCTTATGATCACTGAGGCCTGCTCAGTACCTAGATGTGTGATTGCTTTGGAATAACAAGTGCTATAAGCTTGGATGTGTGGGTGGTGTAATGGATAATTGCTCAGAAAGCCAAGTTTCAATTCCTGTTCAATTCATTATATTCATTTACCTGTAAATACCATTGGGAAATGTATGAATCTACCCCTTCTTACCCCAAATATGGGTTAATTAGTAAGACTTGTATCACTAAACCATCATTATCTCCATGGTTCTTCTTAGGTCAATATCTTAAAGAGGCTTATGGCAACAACACTGGCTCCAATACGATCACCGAAGTTAAGCAATGTTGAACTTGGCCAAAGGGGTGATCACTTGGGAATACGAAATGCTGTAAGCTTGAAAGTGCAGGTGGCGAAATGGATAATGGCTCGGAATTGTTAATCGGAGAGCCGAGTTCCAATTCCTGTTGGGTTTGTTATATTTACTTACATGCAAATACCGATGGGAAAGATTTGAATCCAACACTTCTTCCCCTAGCAATAGGTTAATTAGGAATACCTGTATCACTAAACCATTATTATCTCAAAAAAAAAAAAAACATAAAAAAAATAAAATTCTTACAATCTAAAAATATTTTCTGGCTTTAAATAACCTGCAAAGGGTTGATAAGCTGTAAAAAATTAATCATTCATCATATAAATAAAATATGAAAGTGGGATTCTACATATATCTTCATTATATATCTTTTGTTATTTATAATATCGACTTGTACCAAAGATAACTTATTTCAAACAGTGCCCAGCATCTTTCAATGTTTGTTTTTGTAAATATTTTTAGCTTTAGACTTCAATCAATGGATAAGATAATAAAGAAGCAAATACTGCATTATTTTTTTTCTTTTAATTCCCAAGGACTACTTGGCTAGGTTTTCTAACAGGGAGTGATACTCCAGCATTGACTCAAGTAGATTTCTTGGTTGATGTGCGATCACCTTCAAGAGTGTAAAGTTGAGAGTTGTGTTCTGAAGTTTTTGCTTGTCAAGAGGCAGGTAAGAAAAAAAAAAGAAAAAAAAATTCAACATTTTCCACATCTTTATTAAAAGAATTTTTTTTCTTCATCAAAAATAGAAAAGAAATTCTCTTGAAAACTCCGAAGCTGGATCGGCTAGATATCTTCAGCTCCAAATAGCCGATGACATCTCTTTACCTTCTGGCCTTAAGTCAGATGGCAGTTCATCAAATTCTAAAAAAGGTCAACATGTTCCCGACTTCTTTTTAGATCTGTATATGCTTGCATAATCGTATAATCGCAGTTATAGGTGCCCTTGCTAATTGAATTTTAGTTTTACTAACAATCTTTTATTCCACCTTACAGATAGAAGAATTCCCACAGTAGGCTGCTGTTAATTTCTCCAGTAGTCTAGTTACCAGCCAAGGCTGTAGGAAGCAGAGATAGATTCATACCTTAGCCGAGGGTATGTACATGTAAATGGATGTAATGAACTGAACTTGAATTCAAACTCAAGTCTCAGAGTTCTCATTTCAAGATATTATCCATCACACCACCCACACATCCAAGCTTACAGGTTTCTATAGCCTTGGTTGGCAACCAATCTACCTAATAAAGTAATGGCAGCCGACAACAGGAATTCTTCTGCCTTGTTAGTCATTAATTGGAAAAGAACAAGATCGCACAAGCATACATCACAGATGGCACCTAAGTAAGAATATACATTTTATTACCTACCAACTACATAGTGTCTACTATTCAAAACAACATATCCAATTTTATTAGTACTGGATTGGCAACTAGGTTTCATTTTACAGTTGAAATAGCTAAATATAACTGTAAGTATTTTGCTAACAGTTTCTTCTCTCGCATTTCTTGCTTGTGGAGTTCTCTACCAGTGTTTTGCTTTTCCAGTCAACTTTGACCTCCCAAAATTTAAATGCAATGTCAATTGGTATTTTCTGTATCTTTAATTGCTGTTCTTTTATTGTTTTCTCTCCTTATTAATGTTTTCTTCTCATATTCTCTGGCTCAGAAACCCCCCTTGTTTCTTAGTGGCTTTATTGCCTTGTTTTAGGTGAATCTTAATATCAAAATAATTACAACCACATCTAAAACTATTATGAATATGATCAGAACTAAAGCTGACCACAATAACAATAATTTTGAGGTAGGCATATATGTTACTTATGTACGTGCAGCTGGGGGGTGGGGAACTGCCAATAACAGACAGTTCAAATAACATCCATCTGAGGTTAAACCTTGCTACCTATATTTTCAGCCAGTTCGTATTAGGAACAGAAAACAGACACATGATTTTTGTATTGATTCTGTTGGTTCCATTCTACACTAGGAATGACTTCAAAATACATTTCCCCTACCAATTTAAAAAAAAAAAAAAATATCACACAAATGCATGCTGGGATTTTTTCATAGACAATAAAACAGGTCAGTTCTTGGTTTCATAGGACCTAATCCCAAGTCTGTAACTTGAAGTCAGAATTCTATGTTCACTTGTCCAAACTTAGTTTGTGAACTTTTTGCTATATTACTTTTGCTTTGAAGAAGACCAAAGAGAAAAGTGAGATGAGGGAGGTGGCCACGAAGACAACATCGAAACAAGCGAGGTGGCCATGAAGACAAAAACGTGAGACAAAGGAGGTGGCCATGAAGACAAAAACGTGAGACAAAGGAGGTGGCCATGAAGACAAAAACGTGAGATGAGAGAGGTGGCCATGAAGACAAAAACGTGAGATGAGAGAGGTGGCCATGAAGACAAAAACGTGAGACAAAGGAGGTGGCCATGAAGACAAAAACGTGAGACAAAGGAGGTGGCCATGAAGACAAAAACGTGAGATGAGAGAGGTGGCCATGAAGACAAAAACGTGAGATGAGAGAGGTGGCCATGAAGACAAAATCGTGAAACAAGAAAAAAGTGACCATGATGACAAAAACATGAGATAAGGGAGGTGGCCATGAAGACAAAAAACGTGAGACGAGGGTGGTGGCCATGAAGACAAAAACGTGAGACAAAGGAGGTGGCCATGAAGACAAAAACGTGAGACAAAGGAGGTGGCCATGAAGACAAAAACGTGAGATGAGAGAGGTGGCCATGAAGACAAAAACGTGAGACAAGGGAGGTGGCCATGAAGACAAAAACGTGAGATGAGAGAGGTGGCCATGAAGACAAAATCGTGAAACAAGAAAAGTGACCATGATGACAAAAACATGAGATAAGGGAGGTGGCCATGAAGACAAAAACGTGAGACGAGGGTGGTGGCCATGAAGACAAAAACGTGAGACGAGGGTGGTGGCCATGAAGACACAAACATGAGACGAGGAAGGTGGCCATAAAGACAAAAACGTGAGACAAGGGAGGTGGCCATGAAGACAAAGAGATGAATAAGATGATGGGGGTGTTGGCAATGAAAACAAAAGCGGAGACATGTTTGCCCATGAAAACAAAATGAGAGAGACACAGAGTTGGCAGTGAAGACAAAGAAAAATCATAGATAGGGGTGGCAAATAAAGATAAAAATAAGTCATATGGGGTTGAACATGATTTTATGGCTTATCAATCTTTTGCCGGTTATTTTAAAGCTGAAACATATTTTGGATTGTAGGAGGTTGCTTAAAGTATGTAGTGTTTCCAAGCATTCCATCATTTAAATACTAACTGGGCTTTGTTGATCGAATGAGAACTGCTGTTATCAGCGTAATTTAACTGTAGGGTGACCATGAAGACAAAGAAAAGCAGGGCGGGGGTTGCCATGAAGACAAAGAGAAGCATGATTAGAGGCAGCAATGGAGACAAAGAGAAAGTTGGGGTGGTGGCAATGGAGGCAAAGCGAGAGGTCATGAGGTGGTGGGGATGGTGGCAAAAGATAGAAGATGGTAGTGGTTGGAAACAAAAAGAAAGATGCAGTGGTGGTGATGGAGGCAAAATGAGAGGAGATCAGGTGGTAGCGATGGAGGTAAAGTGAGAAGACATGGGGTGATGGTGATGGTGGCAAGGTGAAGGGAGCAGAGGTGGTGGTAATAGAGGCAATGTGAGGGGAGATAAGAGTGGTGATGGGTGCAAAGAGATGGAACACAGCAGGAGTTGAAAAAAAGAAAGATGGGGTGGTGGCAATGGAGGCAAAGCAAGAGGAGATGTGGTAGTGGCAATGGAGGCAATATGAGGAGAGATGGGGTGACTGTGATGAAGGCAATATGAGGGCAGATAAGGATGGCAATGGAGGTAAAGAGAGGGGACATGGGGTGGTAGCAATGGAAGAAAAGCAAGAGGCCATGTGGAGATGGCAATGGAGGCAATGTGAGGAGAGCAGGGGTGGTGATGGAGGAGGCAATTTGAGGTGAGATAAGGATGGCTATGGAGGTAAAGAGAAGAGAGATAAGTGTGGCAATGATGGTAAAGAGAGGAGATATAATGGTGGCAATGACAAAGGCAATGTGAGGGGAGATAAGGATGGCAATGGAGGTAAAGAGAGGGGAGATAAGGGTAGCAATCTGGGCAAAGAAGGGGTAGATGGAAAAACAAATAGAAAGGAGACAAAGGTGAGAGAAAGCAAGAGAAAACAAGGAAGACTAAGTGAGAGGCAAGATGAAGACAAAATTGTTAGGCAAGGCTAACAAAGTGGTTAGCTGTTACAAGCATGAGGGAATAAATTTATGAATATATTTTCATGGTACAATGACTCAATAAAACAAGGCTAAATTTTTTTACCCGAACGGAAAGGGAAAAGCAAATTGTGTTAAGCACTGAGAGAAAGAATCTGAAAAAAAAAGCTGTTACTAAAATAATTAGTATTATTCATCATGCTTTTGGTACCAATTTTTGACGTACATGTAAAAAAATAAAATAAGAAATAAAATACCATAATTCCTCATGTATAATATGCCTTCATCTATAATACGCACCACTAAAATTGTGCTGAAAGTGTGGGAAAATGCTTCTACTCATGCATAACACGCACCCCTTGTTTGGTAATCAAACCCTATAAATTGTACCTCTCGAATTTCATTACAACCAGTGTTTCCTACTCTTATTAAAAAAATGGTTTTAAACATAGAATAATATTATTCTAATTTAGTTTTATGATAATTCTTTTTTTTATTTTAGGGCAATTTTTTAAAGATTTTTGTAGCTGTGCATAATACGCACCCCTGATTTTGCTTATAATTTTTTAGAAAAAAATGCGTACTACACATGGGGAATTACGATATAATGTTTATAATTAAGTGATAGACACTAAAAAACTTTTCAGACATAAAATAAATGAAATAGAGTATGACTAAAATTAAGTCCTGAGCATTTTATACACAATTAAATTATATATATGTACAAACATTTATCTTAAAAAGATTTAATTACCGCACCTGTTGATGCAGTTTCACCTTTCAGATCAAATCAATGGGGAAGGTAATTATATCTTTTTAAGATAAATGTTTGTAGTATTTCTCAATGGCTTAGATACTGAGCATGTTAAAAAAAAAAAATCCGTTAGGACTAGTTAATTTCAGGTAAATTTTGTCTTAAACAAACACCGTCATTCCCTTCATACTCCATTGGTAAGATGTAAGAGCAGTTTCTTCCCACTAAACACTGTGGATGCTTCCCTGATCACTATAATCTTAACTTGTTCAAGATAATCCTTTATCTTTCCCACATATCACCATATACTGTGATTCTTACTCTGTAACCCTCTACCTTGACAGACTTACCATCATTGTAAAAAAAGAAAAGAAAAAGTGAAGATTTTATATAAATATATAATATAATATATAAACTACAGTTCAAAAGCTTGATCGTTAAATTACATCCGCATCCTGGGTAAGATGATAAACTATGTCCAGCAGCAAGATCAGGAGGTTCTGAGGAGCATGGAACCACCTCTTAATTGCTGGTGTTACCAGGTGCATCCTGACCCAGGGTGGTAGCACCTGTTAGGGTCCCAGCTATGGGCAAATAGTTAACTATTACCAGCAATACTTTTTTTGAAAAAATTACTACCAGCAATACAATTTTGAAGAAAATATATTTCCAGAAACAGATTTTTAACAAAACAAAATATTACCAGCAATAAAAATTTTTGTCGGCATTAAATAACCCACTGAAGTTGATATGCTGTAAAACAAAATAAACTAAACCAATCAAAAGCTTGAAGCTAGTATTTGTTTAAACTGGTCCAAAAAGTAGTGGCTTTCTACTTTAAATAAGAGAAAATTATTATACATGGTTAAAAAAAAAGAGTGAGACATGATTTTCTATTAGAAATTTGATTATGACAAAAAGAAAATGTATTTTATAAATAAATTTTATTCTTGTCAAAATATCCACCTTTAGCCTTGTTTACTGCAGTATAAATTTTTGACATTCATTGCCAAAGGTTAAGTTTGATAATTGATTCCATTCTTTTTTCAATGACTCGAAGAATTCTTTTACATTTTGGGGATGGAAAGGTTTCATTCTTCTGTCAAGTTTATCCTATGCTAATTCTGGGGGTGGCTTCAAACTTTTGAACTGCAGAGCATATATATATATATATATATATATATATATATATATATATATATATATATATATGTAAGCAAATATATAGATATAGATCCGACAGTATGAAGAAAAATACAGAAAAACAAACAAAAATTTTAACATGCAATTATGCTGTATTAATGTTAATATAAAGTTGACGTCGGACGTTTCGGCCTATTTAAGACCATCTTCATGGACATTTTCATTTAAACATAATTAACATTAGAACATATAAAAATATATAAAGCTTGTATGAAGATATAAGAACCTATTAATCTCTATGTACTCCTATATTCAACGGAAGGGATTTGAACTGTTTATATAAAATAGTTCAATCGACTTTTTTAATATTTTAATATTTGGAAATCATCTTCGAATACGTTTTCACAACATCGCCCATGTGACGACAACGTGATCATATTTAAACAGAACACTGATCTTATATAAAAATTTCAGTTATCTGTTTGGATTAGTTGTGCTCTTATGTCCATCGTCTTTTGTGTTAAATTTTTATATGTTCTAATGTTAATTATGTTTAAATGAAAATGTCCATGAAGATGGTCTTAAATAGACCGAAACGTCCGACGTCGACTTTATATTAACGTTAATACAGCATAATTGCATGTTAAAATTTTTGTTTGTTTTTTCTGTATTTTTCTTCATATATATATATATATATATATTCATGAATTATTCATACAAAAAACAAATACAAAGGTTAATGATTTAATTGGCGAGAAATCCATCTTCACGAACAATTCAAATAATATACAAAAACCCCGAACCTGTTTATGAATGAAAAGATCCTTGTTTTATAAATTTCAGTCGCATTTCTTATTATTTTTACAAGCTTTCGTCTGTATATTATTTGAATTGTTCGCGAAGATGGATTTCTCGCCAATTAAATCATTAACCTTTGTATTTGTTTTTTGTATGAATAATTCATGAATTTGTAAATTAATTGCACCTTTATTGAAATTAAAATAACTGATCCAAGTGCAACTTTCGGATAATAAGTGCGACATTACTGTAATTATTGAACAATATAGTTCATGCCACTTTGACGGAAAATTTTACCAGTAAAAAAGAATTCTCTTATCACTATATTTGTACAAGAACGCACAACCTTAAAAATTTAAATTCAAACTCAGCGCTATGACTGCACGCCCCAAAACAATAACACATTTCTCATAGCATTTTTCAGATTACAATACATCTATTTTCGTTGTCCTCTTATTACTGAGAGTAAAAACAAGAACAAAATCTATTCCATACCTGAGGATGTCTGTAGGAACAGACGAAAGCTTGTAAAAATAATAAGAACTTATGCAACTGAAATTTAAAAAACAAGTATCTTTTCATTCATAAACAGGTTCAGGGTTTTTGTATATTATTTGAATTGTTCGCGAAGATGGATTTCTCGCCAATTAAATCATTAACCTTTGTATTTGTTTTTTGTATGAATAATTCATGAATTTGTAAATTAATTGCTCCTTTATTGAAATTAATATATATATATATATATATATATATATATATATATATATATATATATATAGTAAAGGTAATAAATCTGTTGGTATATAACCCAAGTGGATACTATTAATATAAAATATTAAAACTGATCCACAAAAAGATCTCAATGTATTTATTATTACAGAGCAAATAATTAGTACACAATAAAATCCATAATTGCCTCATATGGTGAATAAGCTTATTTTAACCAACAAAAATTTGTCAGTCTTATTCAACCCCTGTATAGACTGAGTTTGTGTTGGAATTAGAAATTTAACTTTGACAGCTACAAAAAAATTAAAAAAAAAAAAATTGAAAAACTATAAAAACATATATATATATATATATATATATATATATATATATATATATATATATATATATATAGTTAGTTTTTCAATGTTTTTTTTTAATTTTTTTGTAGCTGTCAAAGTTAAATTTCTAATTCCAACACAAACTCAGTCAGTTTTAATATTTTATATTACTGGGATCCACTTGGGTTATATACCAACAGATTATTACCTTTACTATATATATATATATATATATATATATATTGTTTATAAAAAATTATGTAATAAATATATAATATGCATTTGTTTTGGTATGATTTTTAATGCCCTACTTTTCTTTCACAATCAGAACACATAAAATTTAAGTAAATTGCTATGCATACTTGATGTATGCTTGAGTGATCAGGTCTCTTTTTTGATTCATAATTGCCTTGACAGAAGAATATCCACAGTAAGCTGCCATTACTTTCTGCAGTAGTCTGGTTGCCAACCAAGGTTGTATGACCCAATCTGTCCTGCTATTTAATCTCAAAGCTGAGGAAGAGAAAAGAGGTGGATTCATACCTTTTATGTGGGTATTTACATGCAAGTGAACGAATGTAAATAACTCATCTGACATTTGAGTTTGACTCGCTGATTTTTTATTCCATGCTATCATCACATCACCCACACATCCAAGTTTATGACCCCTGGTATTCCCAGGCTCGATGTTGCTTAACCTTGGTTATATAACTGAATCAGTACTTTGCTGAGATATGGCCATAAGCACTTTGGACATAAGAAATTTTAATTAATTATCATCATTATTTCCATTGTGAAGATTTTTTCATCATCGTAATGCCAAATTGTGAATCATAAAAAAAGAAATGGCATAAAATATATATGGTCATATCACATTAGAACAATGGTTTTTGTCTGATTGCCCAAGTTAAGCTTGGTCAGGTCAGTACCAAGATGGGTGACTGCTTTGGAATGCCAGGTGCTGTAAGCTTGGATGTGCAGGTGGTGTAATGGATGACAGTTTAGAATTGGAAAGCAAAGAGCCGAGGTTCAATTCCAGTTGGGTTTGTTATATTCACTTACATGCAAATACCATTAGGAAAAATATGAATTATCGCTCGGGAATCTAGGTGGTAAAATGAATAATGGCGCGGAATTGTTAATTGGAGAACTGAGTTCCAATTCCCGTTGGGTTTATTATATTCACTTATGTGCAAATTCCTTGGTAAAGATATGAATCCACTGCTTTTTCCTCCCCCCAATTATAATAATCGTTGAGCGATGTAAGTCTTACTAATTAGTAAGACTTACATCGCTCAACGATTATTATCTAAAAATCTTACAATCTAAAAATATTTCCTGGCTTTAAATAATCTGTAAAGGGCTGATAAGCCATAAAAACGAATCAATTAATATCTTAAATAGCTGTGGCACATATATTATAAAGACTAAACCAATCATATCAAACAAATTTAGTTCCCTACAAAATATATTGATGAAGCTCTTTGTAAGTAATGGTCTCCTTGCAAACAGTAAAGGCGACCAGTTTGTCAATCATTACAATTAAATAGATCTCAATAAAATTGATGTTGTTACCCGAATAATTTTTATGCATGAATTGATATCTATAGGTTTAATTGAATCTATATGCAAGATTTTATTAAAGACTATGCATGTGCACTACGCCTCCCCCCCACCTCATACGCATCCAATTATGCATTTATCAATAGCTGGAGGCATTTACTCAGATGGACATTTGCTCTTTTACTTTTTGAAAGGAAATATTTTAATACACTGCATTTATGAAATTCAATTAAAAAAAATGTATAACAAAAGTGGAATAAAAATGAAAGAAAAAAACACAAGAAACAGTCGAGCTGATATTTTTGTACAAATGAAGACCATTTGTTAATTTCATGAATATGTAAAGACAGAAATAAAGAAGAACCGATTAGTACAGATCAATGAAACTGAAAAAGACAGCGTACAGTTTGAACTGAATTGGAAATGTTAGTAGAATGGAAAAATCTACTTTTTAGTCAGATTGTAATTTAAGTACCTATTCTTCTTGATTCATTCGAAAACACTCAACAAACATAAAACAAACAAACAACAAAAAAAAATTAAAATGAAACAAAAACGGAAAATAGAAACAATTAAAAATAAAAAATAAAACAAAAATAGAAACAATTAAAAATAAAAAATAAAACAAAAATAGAAACAATTAAAAAAAAGAAACAATTAAATATATAAATTAAATAAAATAAAAACTAAAAACAAATAAACACAAAAACAAACCCCCCAAAAAAACAAAAAACAGAAAAAAACAAAAACAAATAAAAAACAAAAAGCTAAAAGCAAATAAAAAACAAAAAACTAGCAAATAAAACAAAAACTAATAGCAAATACAAAACAAAAAACTAAAAACAAATAAAAAACAAAAACAAATAAAAACAATAAAAAATTAAAATAAATAAAATAAAAACAAAATAAAAATAATAAAATAAATTAAATGTACTAATAAAAAAAGGAAGGGAAAAAAGATCAGTATTTTTCAAGTTATACTAGCGATGTTAAATTTGAAATTTCATGTATAGCTTTTAGTTTTATCATTTCATTTATTTGATAGTGTTTTAAAGAGAGAGAGAGAGACAGAGAGAGAGAGAGGGGGAATTGTGTGTGTGTGTGTGTGTGTGTGTGTCATACCTTCAACATCCAAATAACGCACACCACCAAACCATCATATTGTTATTGTACTTTAAATTAACTTAGTCCAGGTGAGTAGCAACTGCTGCTTTAGATCACATTTCATTTCACATTCACAATAATCACAAAGAATGAACATTGAACAACATAACTAACACAATTATTTTGTTTACTTAATCATAACATACATTCATTACATTCATGATATACACATCATCATGTAGAAAACTCAGCTCTAGCACTCAGTGGCGTACACACATTAAATAAAGACAATAAACGTGTACACATATGTAAACAATGAAACACGAACACATGTGCTATAGGAAACAATAAACAACAGCAGACGATTGAACGAGGCGACCGCCATCAAGTCAGTTTAGGTATGGAAGCTCATGCGTATTATAATTTTTGTCTGGTGCATATTTAGCACATATAACTATTTTGTTTGCGAGATAAGAACATTTAAGTACGTGCAGAGGGAAACCCAGAATTATAAGGAAGGAAAATGCTCTGTCATTTGTTTTTATTTTTATTGTTATTTTTGTTTAAGTATTTTATGGACTTTTCTCGTTCAATGAATTACCACTTCGTTTTAAAAAACAAAACAAAAACAAGCTTTAAAAGAACTCAACACGTACATAAATTGTAGACATGTGTCTTTTTTCACATAAACCCCAATTTGGAACAGGCCTCATTAATCTGGGAATAGCTGTTGTTCTTCAATCTTCATGTGATCTTGAAAACCTTTTTTTTTTAAGTATTGCAACAGCAGAATAATTTTCTTGTTAAAAAGTCAGTGAAATTATTACTTAAGAAATTATTAGTAAAGAAACAGGCACACTTGCCTTACGCAGTTTTCAAAGAAAAATACCCCCGACATATAAAATAAAATCACAGTGAATGCTGGTGGTAATAAAACATTGCTCGATGCTGATAAAAAAAACAACGAAAATTGTGTGTGTGTGTGTGGGGGGTATTTTGAGATATGAACCCATTTGTAAGTTATACTTTTTTTTTTTACTCGAGAGAGGGAAAGTATTTAAAAAAAAAAGAAAAAGTAATACTTTTTTTTTCGCGTACGGATTTTTAAGCCTTTATTTTTCGGCATCTGTTATGCTTTTTTTTATTATTATTTAAGTTAGAAACGTACAGGTAATTCTTGCTATGTTATATAACTGTCACTATTCATTCATATTCTAATCATCTCAGCCAGCCAACTTCATCGAACAGGATGTGGCATGCATCGATCGTATGTCATTGTTTTTCTACGATCAAATGGTACTACCATAATGATATCATCATCATCAATATCAGCAGACACCGTTTTACTTTTTTTTTAATAACATCATCATCAACAATGTTTATAAATATCATCAGCAGTAGACAGTTTTTAATATCATCATCATCAGTAGACAATGCTTTAAATTTAATATCATCAGTAGACAATGTTTTAAATATTATTAGTAGACAATGTTTTTCATCATCAAATGTTTTAAATATCATCATCATCCTCAATGTTTTATCATCATCATCAGTAGACAATGTTTTTTTTACATCATCAACAGACAATGTTTTTAATATCAGTAGACAATGTTTTTAGTATCATTCAGTAGACAATGTTTTTTAATACCATCATCTGTCGACAATATTTCTTTTTAAATCATCATCAGTATCAACCGAGAATGCCTTTTAAAAATCATCATCTCAGTCGACAATGTATGTTTTTTTTATTATCGTCATAGGAATGTTTTTTTTAAATATCATCACCATCGTCATCAGTAACAAAGATATTATTGTTCTATCAAGAACAATAAAATTAACAACTAGCAACTGTTTTTCAGTTTTCGCTGACGAAGCACTGAAGTAACAATAAACAACAAAATTGAAAACATCTTTCTTTAAAGTAGCTGTAATTTTTATTTTTAAAATTACCATTTAATAAAATATTGATCTAAAAACTAAAATGCTAAAAAAATAATCATGAACATGACGATGATAAAAACATTAAAAAAATTAATAAAACAATCACGATATGATTGATTGCCTATGAGCATCTGTAGGAGAATTTTTATTTTTAAAATAGTTTCTCCGAAGACCTTGACTATGTGTTTTCAGTTTTTAGTTTATTTTTATTAACATCAGAGACTTAATTTTAGTTTTCTGTCCTCTTTTCTAGAATCGATCATAAAAGTCATAAAATTATTAAAAATTAAGATTGAATAAATAATAAATATATATAATTAATTAATATAATAATTAATAATAATTAATAACTGACTGAATGGCTTCCAATGGGTGACTGGACCATATTAATGGGCGTGAACATAACAATAAACTAAAACACGAAACAGACGAATATAGATAGCAAAAATAATTTAAATAAAGCAATTAAAAAAACAATGAAGAATTATTTTTATATTTAAGAAACAAGATGAAAACAAAGTAAATAAAAATTCTTAAAGCAAAATTTAAAAAAAAAAAAAGATAAAAATAAATAAATAAAAAAATCGAAAAAATAAAATGACCCACCAAGCTGGCAAAAATGAAAAAAAAAAAAAAAAATTGTAAAAAGAATAGTAAAATAAACCATTAATAACTTATTGTTAATTAGGTGGTGGAGACTGAAGCAAAAATATGAATGCATTTTTTTTTAGTTAAAAACAAAAATAAATAAATGAAAATAAAAAATAAATAAATAAAAATAAATAAAAAATAAAATAAATAAATAAAAATAAAAGAAATAAAAATAAAAAATAAAAGTAATAAATAAAAATAGAAAATAAAATTTAATAAATATAAATAAATAAATAAATAAAAAGATAAAAAAAAATGATATAGAAAGTAGTCTTCAATTCTATCATCCTTGACCTGGCTGGAGTATGGAGACAGAAATCGAAATATTTGTTTTCATTTAATCGGGGAAAAGCATGAAAACAAGGACATACGCACGCACGTGAAGACAATAAAAATTAATCAACACCACAAAGACGTTTAAGACGTAGATTTAATTATTATTGTATTGAATATATCAAATAAATAAGTTTTACTGTTTTCTTTTATTGGCTACTTACTCATTTGGATTATTCAGACAATAATAATAAAAAAAAACTTAAAAAGTAAAAAACTAACAATACATTTCTTAAAGAAGAGCTTGATCAGTTAACAACCGTAACAACAAACCTTGCAGAGCAAGAACAAATCAAATACCCATATTCATGGGGGAGAGAAGAAACGTGTTGTGGGTAGTCTCACTTGGCGATTTTTGAAAGATTTCCGCGCTTTTAAGGGGGAAAAAAAACATTAGGTGGCACAAATAGGATGAATTTATCTTTATTAATTGGTCTTTTTTTAGAATGTTCTCTTCCCTGAAAGATATGGTAGACGGGCCTTTCTGGCCTTGGTTGGCAACCAGTCTAACAGAAGGAAAACTAAATTCTCAACCGGAGAGAAAGCAACATGAAACGATTCCACTATCTTTCCTTAGAAAGTAGGCAACTGATATTCACAGATGGTGGTGATACTAATAATAATTAATAGGTAATCCACAAATAAGTACCAAGGTACTGTGGATTATCTATCGCCGCCTTTTCATTTGTGTAGTGGTGATCTTTTCAAGTTAATGTGGTATTTAAAATGTTTTTCAATTGTCTTTTTTTAAAAATTAATTGTTCTTTCTATTTTTTCAGATTTCTAAAAAAAGTGATCTTTGGGGACAATTTTTTTTTTTTTTTTTTTTTTTTACACATTTATTTGTATTTATGAAAAAGTTGGAAAATTAATATAAAAAGATAACTAACAAGTGCCAATTAATAATAATAATAATAATAATAATAATAATAATAATAATAATAATAATAATAATATGGGATCCGTGGAGAGCTACATGAAGGGAAATGGTATTTTTTTTAGAAGTAACTCTTTCACTTTGCAGTGGCGGTATCAGAAACTATATAAAAAAAAAAAACAGCTACATCATAATATAAAATCCGTAAGTGGTAAGGTTAAACCGTTAAAGATAATCCAGATAGGTCTTTTAAATAGATCTCTGAAGAGAGCTCAATGTATCAAAATACAAAGCAATATGATATACAATACATCAAAGGAAAAAAAAAATCAATACTTACATCATTAAAGAGTTATTATTACTGAACTCTTTAATGATGTATTGAGCTTTTCCTTTGTGTGTGTGTGTGTGTATATATATATATATATATATGTGCGTGTGTGTGTATATATATATGTGTGTGTGTGTATATATATATATGTGTGTATGTGTGCATACGTGTGTGTGTGTGTGTGAGAGAGAGACAGAGACTAATATTTTTTACTTTTTATTCAGAGAAAAAACAACATTTTTAAAACAAAAATTTTGACATAAAAACTGGAAATAACCATCGAAGTTTTTATGTCAAAATTTTTGTTTCTTAAAAAAAAGTATGCTTTCTTTATTATTTATTAAAAAAAAAATGCGTTTCTTTATGAAGTAAAAATTTTGAAATTACTCATCCTCACTTCCTACATATTCCATTAGTGAAGAGAAAGTTACACTCCAACAACTTCTTCCTCGGAACTGTTGCATTGTGGAACGGACTCCCGAGAGAATGCTCCCCTGTCTCTACAATCTTAACCTCTTCAGGTCCAGGGTCAAACGTTATCTATCCTACATATCCTCATACATTAATGTCTATTGCTCCTTCCGTGACGCCTTTACATTTAGTAATGCTCTACTTTGAGCGGCTCTTGGGTCCTATTGAGTGAACAATAGTGAAAATAAATAAATTCATTCAGATGCTCTTCCAACTGTACGATATCGTGTCATCTACCATTCATTACATTTTTATTATTTTCTTGACAAATATATATATATAATTTGCTTTTTGCATATTTCAACTTTGAAAATGCATTGAAAACAAAATGTAAAAAAAAGACAAAATTTTCAGGAATTTCGTAAATTATTTGAGGCCGCTGATTTTTAAAAATGGAAAGAAATGGATCGCTAAATAAATGAAAAAAAAAAAAAAAAAAGCTAGATTGTTAGTAGTTGATCATTTTAAAAAGGGTTCGGGAAATAAAAGAAAATGCAAACATAAACAAAGAAAAAAAAAC